TCGGCGAACACCATAATTATCGCGAATTTCGTACCCTTCTCCCATCCCCCCCTCCCGTTGTGTTAAAATGGTCAAGCACCCTCCAGGCAGTTACACAGTGCTTACAACTGTCTCTGGAAGTGAAAGCACCAGAAAGTAAATTAATTCATACGCAGCTGTCATCCGTACGCAAGGAAGTAAGCACAAGATGCCGAAAACCCTTAGCAGGATGCAGCGCACCCTTCATGCGACTCGCCGAATATCTCACGGCGCTTCGCGCTTGGTGATGTGAGAGCCTGGTCCGGTGAGAACCCGGCGTGCTCCGTCCCGGCTTTGTAGGGATGCGAGGTCAATGGTCTAACGACTACGGCATGCACGACTATGAGTACACCCCCCCCTCCCCAACAAAACAAACAGTCCTGCGTCGAAAACCCCCGCGCTTTCTTTGGAATATGATTGTTGTCGTTCACCTTTTTCCTGGGACGAGGAAAAAAAAAAGCTTCTTTGGCCAATCAATAACAAACAAAAACATTCGTGGGTCAAGATAAAAAAACTTACTGGGCAAGACCCCGCCACAAAGGCTCATTCCATCAAACGTACTGCTGTACAGTGTTTTTCAATCCGAGACCAAGCGAAAGCTCTTACTCCAAGCACAAGCTGCCAGCACCTACATTGGACAGAATGAAAGGGTTTTTGAGGTGGCTCGCGAAATTGCTTCGAGGTAGGTAGGGCAGTCAGCCTTCCTTTCTTGCCCGCCCCAAAGGACTTGAGTCCACCTAGCTGGTTCTACCGTTGCCGGGCAATCGTTGCTAGAGTGAAGCAGAAGTAGGCAGACATGATGATTGAGTTATCCGAGCAGGGAGCGAAAGACTCACTGTATTTATGCTATCTAGTACAGTAGTCGATTTTCTTCCAATAGCACCCGCTCGCAGCGCCATCCCTTCCACCGCTGCCTAGCGCGACGGGAATGAGGGCTGCTTGTGGATCGCCTCGCTTCACGCAATAACATCAAGCAGCGCAAAGCGGGAGCAACGCAGCATCAGCAGCAGTAGCAGTAGCGGTGCAGCGAGCGTTGAAAGAATAATGCCATCGCGGGCGTGGTGCAAAAATCTCCTCTTCTTCCCACATCATACGCCGAAACGAGACAGACATATCTTCTTCTAGTCAAACAACGAACCCCACCAACTTTCTGCCTCCGTCGTTCCCCCCCCCCCCCCCCCCCCCCCCCCCCCCCCCCCCCCCCCNTATAGAAGTAGTACTGTACTGCCATACTTGCTTACGTATAAAACACTGCTTGTGCGCCACCGGGACAATCTGTTTTTATTCCGCCGCTTGTTCTCGGACGGGAGAACTTTGCTTCCTGTTTCGTTTCGTTACGACACATGGTATATTCTCTCATCCCCCCCCCCCCCCCNCCGTTTTTTGTAGTCAGTCCCTCAAGCGTGCTTCTCGTCTATTTTCCCCCTCGAAATATAACGCCACACCTCACGTGCGCGTGTTCGTCACAAAATCCTGCCTCCCCACTCATCCTGTCGCAAAACCAATCCACGCCGTGATGAGGGGTTTCGCGCTTCCAACCTGGTGTTTAAGGCCCAAAGCGGTTACGGAAGGCACGACCCCCCGCGCTCTCGAGCACCGCGGCACTAGACAAACGTCCCATGAATCTACGTATGGTAACCCCGGTGCTAAGGGCTACGGGTAACGTTTCCAGCGCGTCCCCGCACCAAAGAAGCTTGCAGTAGCAGCGACGCGCTCATAGCTGTCAACTGCGTGCGTGCGTCCGTACTAGCACACGTCCTCGTCTGAACAGCTTTATACTCATGCTAGTACGTCCTAAGAACGTGTGTACTTGCCTTGAAATGCGCTGTATTGGCGTTCGTCCATACTAGGACGCCCTACCATAGCAATAGCGCGTTGTATAGTCGTACAGTAGGGGGCCCTCTATAGTGCCGGTATGTGTTCAGAGAGCACAGCGGCACTATACCGGGCACCGGCACTATTCAGAGTACAGAAAGACTTGATATTCCGGTGTGTGCGAGCCGAAAACACCGGCACTGTACCGGCAACCGGCACTATTCAACCGGCACTATATCGGGCCACCCACTGTACTAGCACGCGCTCATCCGGATAGTGCTCGGACTCACTCCGCTTTGTCCCTAAACCCCAGGGCGAAAAAAAACGCCCATTACAAACACACAACTACGATACGATAACGTCAAATTAGAACGAAAACATAAAAAAGCGTCCCAGAACCTCCGGCACTCGAATCACGGCGGCCTTGGGCGATTGCACACAAAAATTCCTGTAGTGGTTTCGCAACGAGTTCTTCAGCTGTTCCTAAAACCAGGTGTTGCTACCAATGACCCACATCACGACGAGACACACACCCAGCCTTTCCACACGCCATGTAGCAGCTCGCCGAGCAGCCAGAAAAACAGCAAAATAAATTTTGACGCGGGACAGACGCCGTCAACCGCGAATCCTAGTATTTTTGCGTTTTTCCTGAGGCCTCAAAATCGTTACCCCGATTGACACTGCACTATGACACTGAAATCTGGATGGCATGATTGATGGCAGTCAAAATCTTGGCGCCGCTAGAAGTTTTGCCGACCAGCTCCGGTCCCTTCGCCCGTTGCGCTCTGCTGTTGTTGCTGTTGCTGTTGCTGTTGCTGAGGGGGCGGGGGGGGGTAATACACGCCGCCGCCGGCAGGGATGCCGCTAGCAGCGCCAGTTGTTGGCGGCTCAAACGATATGGCCTGTGACAATACCGCACCAAGACAAAACACAAAGAATGGACGGAGAGGTGGAAGGGTTTGGTGCCAGGAAGTGCACCAAAACCACCGTCAACAACGTTGGGTAACCTCCATGCACTAGATGATTTTCGCGTGGCCAGCGGTTTCGCCGTGGAGGCGCTGGAAATATGGCCAGCGGTTTCGAGGAACAAAATTTGGAACTTCTTCAGATTATGCTCAAGGTGCATTGCTCGGGAGGGACATGGTAGCATTCAGGTGGCTCGCGTCAGCGCACTCCAGCGGAATGAGGGCTCCAACTCATTGAGATAGCACCACGGGTGCTCTCCGTCGACGCCGTCACCATCACCAACAACAAAAACGCCGAAAATAACAACAACGACAACAACACTGATTTCAAATGCCTGGGCTCAAGTAGACTAAAAATAAGGCCAGCATCCACCCACCGCAAGGACTCTAACAACACTGCAACCCGTCCCCTGCGACCATGGTTTTATCCCCAGGTAGTCTGATCGTAGCTCTCTATGTATAACAACACTAACACCACCACCACCACCAACGACAACGACAACGACAACGACAACGACAACGACAACGACAACGACAACGACAACGACAACGACAACGACAACGACAACGACAACGACAACGACAACGACAACGACAACGACAACGACAACGACAACGACAACGACAACGACAACGACAACGACAACGACAACGACAACGACAACGACAACGACAACGACAACGACAACGACAACGACAACGACAACGACAACGACAACGACAACGACAACGACAACGACAACGACAACGACAACGACAACGACAACGACAACGACAACGACAACGACAACGACAACGACAACGACAACGACAACGACAACGACAACGACAACGACAACGACAACGACAACGACAACGACAACGACAACGACAACGACAACGACAACGACAACGACAACGACAACGACAACGACAACGACAACGACAACGACAACGACAACGACAACGACAACGACAACGACAACGACAACGACAACGACAACGACAACGACAACGACAACGACAACGACAACGACAACGACAACGACAACGACAACGACAACGACAACGACAACGACAACGACAACGACAACGACAACGACAACGACAACGACAACGACAACGACAACGACAACGACAACGACAACGACAACGACAACGACACGCCGCCAAGACCAGAACCCCAAACGCTAACTAGCAAAACACGAAAACGCACACCTACCTGGGCATTCAGCAGCGGCTGCTGAGACATGTCCAAAGCCTGCGCCGGCATCCCCGCTCCCCCGGCGGCCCCAAACTGGACGAGGTGCTGCTGCTGCTGCTGCTGCTGGAGGAACTGCTGCGCGACCGCCTGCTCCTGCTGCAGCTGCTCCCTCAGGAGCTCTTGCTGTACGGCCGTCCTCATCCAGCTATCAGCCTGAGGAGGGGGAAGCACCACGTCCTCCGTCAAGACCGCGCCGCCGCCCGCCGGGGGTCCCGCGGATGGGGCCGCACCCTCCCCGGCCACGCTCCACGGCACCTGTTTTGTGAGTGATGTGCATCAGCACCGGATTTGGCACGGAGGATTGGGAGACATGGGGAAACGAGAAGAAGACGGTTGTACATACGGGTAAATCAGTTGTAAATGGAGGTTCTGCGCGGAGAGATCGGAACGGTTTTCAATGTGACGACAAAAACATGATACCGTGTTGAAAATACGAGTAGCTATACAGATCCGGGGTGGCAGATACACGCCCATGCTGTAAGGCGCGACAACGTCACGGCAAGGCACGACAACGAGTGTTTGTTCTACCGCTCACTAGATAGATACCAGACACGCTCGGCGGCTGCCTGTAGGTCACGAAAAAATCTTAATGTTGGTTAAGAAGTTCAAGGCACCTCTGGAAAAGTGATACCCTTGACGTTGTTCACAAATACCCACGCATACCCACGACGTCCTCTCTGTCTCTGTCTCTGTCTCTGTCTCTGTCTCTGTCTCTGTCTCTCTCTCTCTCTGTCTCTCTCTGTCTCTCTCTGTCTCTCTCTCTCTCTCTCTCTCTCTGTCTCTCTCTCTCTGTCTCTCTCTGTCTCTCTCTCTGTCTCTCTCTCTCTGTCTCTGTCTCTCTCTGTCTCTCTCTGTCTCTCTCTGTCTCTCTCTGTCTCTCTCTGTCTCTCTCTCTCTCTCTCTCTCTCTCTCTCTGCCTCTCTCTCTCTCTCTGACTGTGCCTCTGCCTCTCTCTTCGCTATCTCTTCCTCTCCCGCCTCCGCCCTCTATTTCCCCCTTCTTGCCGTACCTGGTAGTCTCAATCACTGTCTTAACAATCTCTGCATCGTTGCCTCTTCATCCTGCACACAACCCCCTTCATAGTCGCCGCCTCTTCCTACATACGAAGTACATAACCTCCCCCACTTCCCATCTCCGTCTGTACGCCTCCTACAACTCATTTCATCTCACCGGCACAGGACTAGAGTGCTGCTGCTGCTGATCCGGGTACCACTCGCCGCCCCCCGCCCCCCCGCCCGCCCCGCCGGCCCCGCTTGCCGCCACCATTTCCGCGGCCACGTGCATGGGTAGCTGCTGCGCCCCGGGCGTTACGAAGTAACCCGCAGCGGCAGGGTTGTAAATGCCCTGAGGAATTTTTCGAAGCAAGCGCATACACGTGGATTGTGGTTAAGGTCGGAGAGAAGCATACGGCAAACACACCTGCTCAGAAGCCACTTCACGCAACGTGTCCCGTTTCTTCCCCGTCTATCCGCCCTCCGGCACAGGCAACAACCACGCTAGCAGAGGCGCTCAATTATTACAACAGCAGCAGCAGCAGCCGCCGCCGCCGACAAGGGCGCCTCTCCTCGCGCTATGACTGCTCCTGCCACGGGCTGTAGCGCTGCTGCATTTCGGGTCTCGACCTACCGACGCCCACAAGGACAACCGCCGCACCCGCCTTCTGTTCGCACATACACCCACACACCGATCCCCCCCCGCCCCCCGTCGGGGAAAGCCGGCTGACTAGGAAGTACTCGTAACCGGGTTTTCTACTCCGCTGTTCAGAGTGACGTCTCATCTACTAGTGGCTTAGCGCGGTCGATTCCAGCTCCAGCAGGATCCCCCGAACACACGCACATGTCGCTCCATCCCGGCATTGTAGGGGTGCGAGGCGTTCACATACATGAGTGCACCCCCCCCCACACCCCCACACCCACAAAAAAACGCACCTGGATCTGCATGTCTCCCGGCCCCGCCACACCCATCCCGACCCCCGGCATCCCCATCTGCTGCACCCCAGGCATGCTCTGCCCCACCAGGATCGGAGGAGACCCGCTGGCGTGAGGCAGTGGTGGCATCGGCGACCCGTCCCTCGCCAGCTGCATCGCTCCCGCCAGCCCCTGAGTCGGAACGGGGGACATCACCGCAGAGACTGGGGGTCCCGCGGTTGGGTACCCCCCCACCTTGGGGCTCCCGCGGACGTCGTGCTGCGCCAGGGGCTGGGGCATCGGGCCGGCGGCGGCGGCGGCGGCGGGAGGGGCGGGGTTGAGGCCGTGCCCGCGAGGCGGGGGTGGCGAATGGGTCAACTGCTGTTGTTGCCGCTGCTGCTGCTGCTGCTGCTGCTGCTGCTGCTGCTGCTGCTGCTGCTGGTCTTGCGTGTTGTTGCCGGGCTGGTCTTGCGTGTTGTTGCGCTTCTGGGGCTGTTGTTGTTGCTGCTGCTGCTGCTGCACCCTCTGCCCGAAGCTTTGCTCGTGCGCTAGCTGGCCCCGGAAGAGCTCCTCCTGTTTGTTTTTGGTGTCGCGGCGATAAAGACGAGACGCAAACGCTTCAGGTCTCCCATCGCGACAGCAACACCACTCAAGAACCTCTGAATCTGCACGAGGATCGTTGCTCATGTTCCTCTCTGGGGTAATCCAATAAGATAGGGCTTGTAACCCAACAAGCCCGTTGTTGTAGTCAAAATATTGATTTCATGCCTCTTTGAGCCTGTCTTTCTTCACCAACTCCCACTCTCTTTGAAAAAGCGGAGGCACAGTCTGTGGTCCAGGGAGACGCGAAGAACAGCAGGGGCATGCACGCTTGAAAACAGGCAACCAAGGCCTCCGCCTCCGTCACAGCAATCGATCGTCCAGACTGAAACAAGCAGCACGCATAGGGTCAGCATACAGCGCAGATCGATGCCAGAAGTGCTCCCCTACCCTCTCTCCTCCCGAATCGATTTCCAAAGCTCCTGCGTATACCTGTACCGAAGAGAATGCAAAAATACATGACCACCACTACGTTGTCGAACGCTACCCTTATCAGGACTGAATGCTCTCGTCGGTACGAAAATGCCGATCACAAAACCCAACGTTTGGGGAGGAGGCTAAACCTAGGACCCTATATAGCGAGCCGGGACTAAAGCCGATACAAAGCCAAACGAAAATTCATCGAATCGACTCACCTGTTGCTGCAGCTGTTGATTCCTAAGAGCTTGCTGCTGCGCTTGCTGGGCTTGGATCAGCTGGGCTCGCTGCATTTGTTGCTAATTTCGTGGCAACGGGACAGCGGCGGAGGGGACGGGCGGGGGGGGGGGGGGGGGGAACGGCGGG